GATATACTTTTAAATTTTTTTTTTTTTGTAAAAATGCAGTGACTTGCAAAAAATAGCCCCAGGTGATTATGAAGAGGCAATATGAAGAGACAATGACCCTTTATACCTCAACCTGTAAAAACTTAGAAAACAGACACAAAATAGAAAAAGTCATTAATTTCAGAAAACATCTTGTTTTCCTGGTTAGTAAAACATTGAAAAATTATTTTTTTATAAAAGTTAAGGCTGTCCAGATCTTTGATGCAGAAAGTCTGCAGTCCCCAAAATTATATATTATATTTTCATATTGAAAGCAAGTTTTTTTGTGTGACAGTTCTGATCTTCTTACGTTAGACTGGAAGGGAGAGGGGAAGCAGAGGCTTACTTAAGTTATATAAAAATTATGTGGCGGGAGCTGGTCTAAGGAGCCCTGGTAAAATTCCCCTTTGTGACTTTCAGGATGTAGTCTTTATTCTATACCTTTCTACATTCAAACAATCAGTATTTTGGTTTTTGTTGAAACAAGAATTTTATTAAGAAGTTTGCTGATGCTATGAAAATACAGATACGTAACTGTATTGTGCTCCTAATAAATGACTTTTGTTTTTCCCTAGAAAATGCAGGAAAGTTTTCCTGGTAATATCAGAAAAAGGCCTTTGTGAAGTGAATTGGTGGTAGCAGGAATCCAACATCCCATCTTCCTCATTACTTACGTTGTTTTATTACATAAATGAATAATTCTGTGCTCTTGCTGTGTTGTGTATCCAATAGGACAAAGGATACTTTCAGGTTCTGGCCTAATCACTGGAGTTCAATATACCTTGATTAAGAAATTCAGGAGCACCTGAAAGATTGTGTATTTATAAAGTTCCTGAAACATATGTCTTACATATGCTGAGAATTTGTGGTTTCAATAGCAAATGTGCATGTGGCAAAAATAAAATGTTAAATTGCTCACTTTGGAATGGTTTTTGTTGTAAATTAACATTGCAGGAGATGAGAGTATTTCTTCCAGGAAAGGACTTGTTAGTGAGTAAAATTCTCCAGTGGGGCCAGGGATGAACAGAGATGACTGAGCTTCCAGATTTCAAGTAAATGAGAAAAAGTCCTCGACGCATATTCTATGTCCATCTCATTTCATATTGACAGGGCTAATATTTCTTACAAAGGAAGATCTGGCATAGTAGTTAGATTTTTGTCTCTATCACCATATTCCCTCCCTCCTCTTTTGCTACTCATTGGTTCACTGGCATTAAATAGATGGTAATTTTCAAGGGTGTGCTGTGGTCCCTTGAAATAAAATTCGTAGGAAGTAAAGAGAAATGGTCTGTTTTTACACTTGGCCTCAACATTTTGCTCCAGAAATGATACTGCATCTCTAGGAAACTCTCTCTCTACATTTCCCCTCCTTTTATAAAACCTTGACTCTAACCAAAACAAAACATTCTACACGCTTGTAGATAAAATGCATTTATCATCAGGAAATTAAATGGAATAGGTGGACATTTTAAGCAAATATCATGTCTATTAACATTTCAGAAAGGAACCAAACCAAATTAATGGAATTTGAGTTTCCTGAAAGCTTTCGAAGAATTCTAAGATTGCTCAGAAGGCTCAAAAGGAAACTACGTTTCGGGTTTGGCCAGAAGGGCATTTCCTACCTTCTCTTCCTCCCAATCACCAATATCAAATGATATTACTAGACACTATCAACTCACTTTTAGAGGCAATTATTATTTTTTTGCTTATGTAAGGAAAATAATACAGGTAAAAGAGATACAAGCTGAAAAACTTCCCCTTAGTTTGTCTTACTGCACACTAAAAGAAAATATTTTTAAGAAGTCAAGAATACAGCAGTCATTATGATTTTTCAAGATATGCAGAATTAATCTTTATCATTTTAACCATAATCTTTCATTAAAAGACATTGAAAATCTATTTACAAACAAATGAAATACCCTTCCTTTTCTTTTTTCTCCTCTTTCTATTTAAAAGGGAAGTGATTTATATGATTTTAAAGGAAAGCCCAACTAATCAATAGCCCAAAAACGATTATGGTTTTGTAATTTCATTACTGATTCTTTCATGAGTCTGATTATGTAACCAAATACCCTGCACTTTTGGAGAGTGTGATACCACACATGATAATATTTACAGAGAGAATGCCAATGGCAGCAGGAAAGGCAACATGTTCACAATCACAGCTCCATGTACACTACCATCATGAAGGGTAGTTACTTGCTGCTATAGGTCGGATTATAGGTCTCATCCTATAGAAGTACTGGCTAAGTCTGAATCCCCCATTATGACAGGATAATGATGGGACTTATGCAAATATATACGCCTTATTCAAACACACCTTCGTTTACTGTGGCTACAAATAGCTTGAATAAAGGTAACACATCTTACTTCAAAGTCCATTAAATGATAAGCTTTACTAATAAAAATATAGAGAAACTCAAATTCATATAATTTGCTAATCCGTATTCCCTCATAATAGTAATTAGTGAAGAGAATACAGATAATCATTAATCTTTTAGTTCTCGTGTGTAGTGTTGTAGTGAGACGTGCAGATCATTTTCTTTATGAGTAACTAGTTTACTTATGCAAGGGTAGGTGACTTCAGGGAATTATCTGTCCTGGAAAATTGATTCTGTTTATCAAACAGCAAGCTCAGGGGTTCTACATTCTACCATTCCACTCACTAACTGTGCTTAATTTTTTAAAACTCACACTGAAGAGCTGGAATCCCCAAGGGAGTAAAAAAGATAAGCTATGGTAAACTTTTAGATTGTTTCTTTCTTAAGTAAATCATTAAAATGACAGATTGTCCAAGACATTGAAACTGTTTTCTCCCTCTATGTAAGTAGGTTTATCTCCATGCCATTTTATGTAATGTCTAAATGATGCTTCAGTGACCATGTACTGAGGAAAATGAAGCTGAGAGTAGCAGAATTTATAGGCATCCAAACCAGGTTTCTCAATAAAAGAGCAGTTTTATTCAATTGCAGCTGCTTTGATGAACCTGAGATTTAGAGAGATTTCCCTCAGTTATTCAAAACCAAGCATGGATGGAATCATGCTCAACAGCAGAACTTAGCTCCTTTATTTTTCTCTTTTTTAACTTTTTCTGTTTATGTATAGGCGTAAACATAATGAGTATAATAAAACGACCCATTTTGTGCTCATTAAAATGCAATTATTTCAGGAAATTAACTTTGAAAAGTAAAAACTGGTGTTTTTACCTGTCCTATTGAAGTAAATATAATTTCAAGCCAAGAATTTAAAAAAAAAATAATAGATTTAGAACTGAGCAAGCGAAACAGGTCTATAATAGGTTCTATAATAAAATTCTCTCAAGACTATCTTATTTTTTTCTCATCTACTTTCCACAGAGATTAGACTTGATGTAGTATAGCATATTATGTTTTTTCAAAACTATATTCTATGGGACATAATTTTATGAATAATTCATAACAATGCTATAAATGGGCAAATAAAGTTAAGTCTTATTAAAATCAGTTATATCTTTATTTCATTACTATATTATGGTTATTTTATTAAATTGTTTCACTTTGGTTTTACTATATATGTGGCTTTTTGCTTTGGGGGAATGCTGAGAAGGTATTTCAAAAACTGTTCATTGTGGTCTAGATAAAAAATATTCTTTGCTCTTCTAGGATGTCCAGAAGTTTTTTAAAAAACAACACCCTAAGAAGCTCAGCTATGTGCCACTCAATTAATATTTGTCGAATGAAATTAAGTGCTTAACATTGAGAAGACAGGTCTTTCTTAATTTTTAAAAGTTTTTTAAAGAGTTTTTTTTTTTTTTCTTGAAAGGGCACATAAACCTACAAATTTAAGTTACCTAAAACACTGTCTTTCTCATGGGGACAGAAAGAAAAGAGTACAGATGCAAGGCTTTGTCATCAACTGGGCACGAGATGAACATTATGCATTACAGCACCATCCATGATGAAGTGGGAGCATCATGGCAACCACTGTAGGTCGGAAAGACTGTTTTAGAAATATGGTCACTGCAGAGATACTTCTCAAGATGATCCCCTCATTGAAAATAGATTAGTATGACCAGAAAATATCCATGAAAAAAGAAACAATATAAAAATTTACATTTTTTTTAAAGAGAATAGAAACAAGGCTTGTGAATTTGCCTAAGTTTGGAGATCAATTGCTACTGATGCTTAAAACGATGTTTGTTTCATGTCCTTAGAAATTTTAAAATGGTGCTTCTTATATAAAGGGTTCATAGGTTAAACCATAGAGAGAGACAACCGCTGATGGGCAGTTTATGGAATCAGTCCCTACATTTCAACTGTGACAAGCTCTAGGTTCTTCTACATTGACTTCATTTCAGTTTTAACAGAAAGAAATCCATAGATGCACAATACTGTAATCTGGAAGCTTATGTAAGGCAGCAAAAAGCATCACCCTAGATCGGACAGACATTTTAAATAAGGTCCACTTTTGGCTACACTAGCAACCGGCTAGAGCCAACAGCATTTTGCCACACAAGTTATAAAAACAAAGATCCACAGCAAAGGAGGCAAGTGAGAAACCAGGGACATGGCAGTGTGTGACTACGTTACAGGAACACACTACAAAATGAAACCCCCAGTGCCAATGGGTTCAATTCCAGTCAAGTGAATTAAGGCTACCATATCACTGGCTGATACGAAGAGTCCATTCCAATCGAGCAGGAAGGAAGTGATTCACTCTTGAAGACACAAGGAAAGGTTTAGAGGAAAAGCAAGTTCTTGGAGAGAATGAAGCACACACATGCACGTTGTCTCTCAGGTGAGGAAAAGGAAAAAAAATGAGAGAGATCAAAGCAATCCAACTGCAAGGCAAGGCAGGTGTTTGCTTCCAGTTCACAGTATTGCAGTTAGTGGTACAGTGAGGTCTACGTGAGTGGTGGAGAGTACAGGCTGCCCAGAAGAAAGGAGAAGAAAGAAGTGGTCACATGACAACACAGCATTGACAGCGCTTTTTCTTTTGGGTACCTGGGGCTGGCTCTGTGGCTAGGCTCTCTTCCTTCCCTTCTGGGGATGAGGGCTCTGTGGTATCTGAGATCGGCCTCCCGGACACAAGCTCAGCTGCGTTCCCGTCAATAGTGGACACGTCCGTCACTGTCTTCTCCCTCAATGACTTCTCATCATCTTCATCAATGAGGACCAATTCAGCCTTGATGGTTTCATCATAGCCTAGCACCTTTTTCGTCTCCTCTTCATCCTCGATATTTTGGTAGCCCATAAAAATCATGGTGACTGGCTGATCCAAATTTGCCTCTGGCCCTGCAGTGCTGGGGGCTTGGGCCTGCTGCCCTGGGTTCCCAGAAGAATGGTCTTTCCTAGACTTATGTACCATTTCTAACTTGGCTTCTTTACAGAGCATGTGTTCCTTGGGATGGCTGAGGCTCCCATCTGCAATCACAGTCCTTTCGGACCCATGCCCTCCTCCTAAGCTTGATTGTCCAGCCTTCTGAATAAGCTCTTCTACATCCTTTGCGCTTAATTTGTGCACTCCATTTTCTACTACGGTGCCTCCTGAGTGCACCTCATACACTACTTTGGTACCATCATCATAGACTTTGACTCCTTTCTGATGGACCCCCTCTGGGCCAATGGTAGATGTAGAGAGAATCTTGGTCTCTCCTGTTTGTTTGTCTTTCTCCACATTAATTTCCATGGCGTACACAGCTTGAATGAAAACAAGAGAAAGGAAGTGCATGTTACAACAAAAAAAGCCAGTGAATGGTTAATTGCCAAACAGACAAAAAAAAGGTTTTGTGCCCTTTCTATTCTAACTGCCAAGCATCTTGAGTGTTAGAGTGAGATGCGCACTGTGAACAAAGGTGGTTATATCTGTATTTTAACACAGCAGTTTAAGGTACTGGGAAGACAGATGCATGGTTGCCATATCCCAATGGCACTCATACATTTAAGGAAGATCTGCTAAAACAAGGCCACGAGAGACTTTAGATCTTGGTGTGAAGAATTTCAGAGAGGCTGGCAACATGCAAATTACCTTGATTGAGGGCTTCTCAGACTGACAGACAACTTAAAAACCCTTGGTTAAAATGTGTTCCAGTTCCAAAATTTTAAATAAATAATAAAACCTCTTTCAAGTGTTTTCCCGTTGTCTCTACATTTCCACAAAGGTTTTTGTAGGTGGGACATGGCTATCTTCCACTGTACTATACAACAGAATATTTTCAACAATTGAAAAAGCATGAGAGATTTCATATTAGGTGCCCTGTGAGGACGTCAGTCACTGAGCTAGGTGACTAAAATGAGAACTGGGAAAAGAACAAGACAGAAGTAGCATCACCCTGGGACACTGGAATTTGAAGACAATGATCACAGAAGGCCTCTTTCATCTTCCATGTACAGAGTACCAAGTCCTGCTGCCCATAATGGTGTTCCCACCTGTTGTCTTCTTTTTGTTCCGTTGCTACTACTCAATGTGAGACACTCATTTCCTCTTCCCTAGATTGTTGGAAGAGCTTCCTACCTGGTCTCCCCCTCCCCGTATCCCTGCCCCTCAGTCTTGTATCCTCTCTATTTCATCCCAAATCCTGCTACCAGTGTGCGGTTGCCAAGGCCAGCTCTTTCCTGTCCTATAGACTCTTGTGACACCTCATACTTCCAAATTGGTTTTCTCATAGGCTTCCTGGATGAAAAGAAACTGTGCATCAGGCCCACAGAGCCACCAGGCTCCAGGTGCCCTTTATCTGGATGTGCCACAAAGCCATCAAACTCAGCAGCTTCCAAACTGACTCCAGTTTCTTCTATCAAAACTATTCCCCAGTCTCCATGACAAATAACACCGGCACTGTTAGCTAGTCTCTCAAGCCAGAGGCCTGAGAATCACACCTGACTTCCTTTTTTCTTCCTACCTTCTCACAGCCACTCACTGACAGTAGATAATTCTACTTCAGGTATATCGCCTCCGTCTCCTCACCATCATTTCTATCACCAAAGACTTGATCCAGGCCCTCATCTGCTGTCTGCACAACAGCCTTGTTTTTGATTTTACCTAATGCTTCTGTCTTTTTGCTGTAGTCCAGGAGACTGCAAACTGTGGCCGGAGGGCCACAGACAGCCTGACCCTGTTTCTGTATGGCCAGAGGAGCTCAGAGTAGTTTTACATTTTTAAAGCATTGTTTAAAAAAGAAGAAGAAGAAAGAAGAAGAAGAAGGAGAAGGAGAAGGAAGAAGAAGAAGAAGAAGAAGAAGAAGAGGAGGAGGAGGAGGAGGAGGAGGAGGAGGAAGAAGAAGAAGAAGAAGAAGAGGAGGAGGAAGAAGAGGAAAGAAGAAAGGGAGGAGGAGGAGGAAGGAAGGAGGGAAAGATGGAGAAAGGAAAGAGAAAAGAGAAAGAAAACAATGAATGTGCAACAAAGACTATATGGTCCACAAAGTCTAAAATACTTAAAATCTGGCCATTTGTACAAAAATTTTGCCGACCTCTGCCAGCTTGTGCTCCATCCTGCCCATAGTTACTTGAGTCATAAACCTTCTGTTGGTTCCTTGTGTCTTTAGAGGATAAACACCAAACTTCCCAGCATGGCATATAGTTCCCTTCAGCATGTATCTGCAACCTTCCTTTCTAGCCTTGTCTTGCAGGTCCTCTCGTTCTTTACACATTGTGGCCATAACAACTTCTCACTATTCCCAGGACACTCAACTTCCTCCCATGGCTGCTCGTCCATGTACCTACTGTCCCTCCGCCTAGATAGCCCTCTGTCCCTACTCCAGACTCCTAGAGATCTAGCCCACATGTCTGCTTATCATTGCCTTGAGTCCCTACCTCTTTCTGAATAAGTCCCCAACTATGTTAAGAAGATCCAAACTATCTTTTCAATCATATGTTCTAGTGCTTCTTTTCCCTTTAGCACAATCAAATAACACCATCCCAGACCTAAATATTTCCTGCTTTTGTTAAGATTCCCTTCTCCTGAAATGTCTTTGAGTTTCTACATATCCAAATATGGCCCATTGATTAACACCAAGGTCAACTGCCTCCTCTTCCATAAGCTTTCTTTGATCCTTCCATCTCAAAGGGATCCCTCTCTTTTTAAAATTCTCTCAATACTTTTTCTAAACTCCTCTGAAGGCTCTTAACATGTTCTACTCAGTTGTATAATTATTTGTGGGAATGTTTCATCAGCTTCATAGATTTTTAGGATCTTTGAGGGTTAGTTTCTTGCCCAACATCTATCCATGATGCCCCCTCCCTGTCAGCACCTACCTTAGAGCCATTTGTATAGTAGGTACCCAATATACACATCTGTGAAACAAAGGCTAATCATTCAAGAGTCTAATACAGTTGTTGTAATCTAGTAACAAATATTTCGTGTAATATGACACCAATGAAAAGGTACACACAGTAATTAATGTTTGAACTTGTTTGAAAAAAATAACAGCAATGAGATTGTCCCATCTGCTTACATAGTAAGATACAATCTGTTCCTGGTTAACACTTAACTAAAAAGATTATGAAACAAACTCCCATGTTTGATTTTCAACAGCTCCATTTTGAAAGTTTCACTTGTTCACCATAAAGATCTCAAGTTTTCTCAAGTGACACAATGGGAAGCCAACCAGTATTTGTCATAGAAGTGCATGGGCACACACAATGACTGTGTTTCCAAACAAACATTTATCTCTATTAGTTCCTGATTTCTCACAAAATGTGCCATCAGAGGAGTAGAATGGGCATTTAAAATTTGCATGAACTCCAAAAGGCTGTTCTTAAAATATCATACTTATTTTAAAAAGCACAGTTTGGGATTAAAATATTATATCTTATCACTATTAACACACTCATGGGACATAGTTATAAATAAGGAAAGTAATAATTATTACTAGTTTGTAGATACAATAGCTAATTATTCTGCAAACATTCAGTAATCTGTGAACAAAACCACACATTGGCCTCCAATCAATACAGAATATGGAACAAAATATTTCTATTTTTATATCCGTATGTGATAGGATGAAAATACAAATTATTAACATGGGGATGTTTACAGATGGCCCCTTCCCTCTGCCCATGAATGAGAATGCTGATCATAATTGATCCAATTTTCTCTCATTTTAATCTTTGCCTGTTCTAGAATCAGAGACTGGAAGAAAGGAGAGATGATGATGATAAGTCCTTTGCTGGAAAGGTTAAGTATATTCACACAATACACAGATGAGAAAGAAGGAGTTTAGTGGCAGAGAAAGTAAAAACTGTGTGAAATATGGACAGAGAAGGAGCATTTTGTGGTAGTAAATGATGCTTTAGAGCAGGTGATATGTGGAGGAAAGAAAAGCGACTATGAGAAGTATTGCTTAATGGAGATATAAATTAGGTCCTATTTATTTATTTATTTATTTATTTGAGACAGAGTCTTACTCTATCACTCAGGCTGGAGTGCAGTGGTGTGACCTCAGCTCACTGTAACCTCTGCCTCCCAGGTTCAAGCGATTCTCCTGCCTCATCCTCCCAAGTAGCTGAGATTACAGGCATATGTCACCACACATGGCTAATTTTTGTATTTTAGATGGGGTTTCATTATGTTGACCAGGTGAATCTCAAACTCCTGACCTCAAGGGCTCCACCTGCCTCAGCCTACCAAAGTTCTGGGATTACAGAGGTAAGCTACCACGCCCCGCCAAGGTCCCTTTTAATATACTTCAGGAGAAATAAAGAACAGAATAACTTCTTAATGGTTTTCTGGTGTGCAATTTTCAGCTATATTTCTTTAAATGTGACATGACTCTGGGACTGAACCACATGTGACATAGTTTTATTAGGGTTACATATTTACATTTATATATTGTACACTATTCTTCCAATATTCCTAGAATATGAGCATAGAATATTTTAAGCATTTTAATATAATTTTATAATAAACTTAGATATGTCACAAAATTCATATATATTTTTTTCTAGATAAAACATAAGGCTTCAGAGGAACCACACAATTTTAGCAGGTTCCTTAAGAGTGTGATTCTCCATTCCTTTCTGCATTCACTCTTTCCTCCAGTAAGGGGAACAAAGGCGAACACTTTGAGAAGCTCTGGCTTAACCCAAAGGCAATATCTAGTCTTCATGGATACATATATGAGAATGTTATCTAGGTCTTTTAGAAAGCCATGCAGGAAGTATGAATGTTTAAATGTCATCTTTATGAATAAGCACTTATATTTTGCTTCAGTTCTCAGCCAATAACATTCAAAAGCATGAACTAGAGTGGATATGAGCCAGTAGGAAATTAAGACATTTTCAGTGCAGTGTCTTGTTTTTCATGCACACAATTTAGAAAACTCTTCTACTTCCTACTGCTGCCAAAAGTTTATATCAAAGACTTCTCAAGCTTATCTTGCCTTCATCTGTAACCACAAAGCACAAAGCACACTCTCTAGCCTGCCCTGTCTTCCCTCTACCTTCTCCAAGTCAGAAGTACACTACAATGTGTATAATGATGATGGTCAAAGGGCTTGGTGCCTTTGTTCATCTTATTTAAAATATGAGGAGGGAGTGCTGTTGAGGGTGAGGGCTTTTTGGAGAGCCCTGAAAGAAATCTTGAAACATACATGGACATAGAAAAAAGTATTTGAAGGAAAGCTCTTGAAATTTTCCAGGAGGAAGGATCTGGGGAAGGAGGACAAGAAATAGAAGACAATTCAATGGAAGTTTCATTGATAGGT